AAAGCACCTTTTTACATCGATTTCTTGCAATAATAAATAGCTGTTTGTTCTCAAGAGAGTTGTTCTTTTGAAAAAGATGAAAAAAATGATTACAATTGGATATAGCAGCCGCACAAGAAGAAGAAAATCATGGAGTAGAATGAGGCTTGACTTGAAACCGACGCGAAGGAATAAAAGCTTCCATTCCAGCCTGAATCCAGGAGGTTACGTAGGAGGCGCATTTGTCAGCTGAGAGAGAAAAATCATCAGCTTAAGGACCATCACGAAGAAAATTATGAAAGCAATCCCAGTCAGGTTTAGGATAGTAGTAGGTGGTGCGATGATAAGGTGAGCCCAAAAAAGAAGTACAAGAAGAAAGATTTATAGAGATTATTGCATGGTCAGAACCACCTAAGGGAGAAAAGAGAGAAACTGAACATAAGCTAGGGTCAGAGACAAGAAATAAGTCAAGGAGTGAAGGTAAATGATTAGGGTTGTCAGGAAAACGAGTCACAAAGTTAACTATCTGAGTAAGAGATTGAGAAACGCAGAAGTTAAAGGCTTTAGTGCCAGCAGGATCAGTGGTGTAAGAGCCAAGCCATTGTGATGGGCATTAAAATCACCAACAACAACAATATTGGAAGAGGGGTAAAGAGAGAGGGCATGGTCAATTTGATCAGAGATAACATCTAAAAGAGTGCAATCATGGGAAGAAGGAGAACAATAAAGAACAAAGAGTAAGGTGATAGAGTGAAGAGGTGCTAGGTGAAAGCACATAAAAGAATGGTCAAAGGATTCAAACCTGATTTCACGACAAATAGGGGAATTAATGCATATGTATACCCCTAAACCTAGCATGTGACTATTGGAGTCTTTACGAATCAAAGGATAGTACCCATCAACACTGACATCTGAAGAACAAATTGCATAATTTAAATTTGTTTCACTGAGTGCAAGCAAGTCTGGTGAATTTTGCAGGAGGTAAGACTCAACTGATGGAAAGTTGCTTCGCAGACCGCAAATATTTGTAAAAGATATATTAAAACATTTAGGTAGTGGGGATGGTTTTTTAGGTTTTAAACTTTTGGTTACTTTGGTCATGATTTGGGTTTAATGAGAACTTGACTCATCTATAGATAGAGCACAGCCTCCTAATCAATGAGCTATGCAGTTGTCTCAGTCCTGTTAATTAACCCTAAGCCGTGACATAGGGCTCCTTATGTGGCCTTGACAATGCACACCAAAAGCATTAACAGGGACACCATCCATGCGCAACATGGCACTGTTAATACTCTGATATTTTGCAGCTGTTGATGGAATCATCCTCTCTGAGAGCTACCACAGAGTTCGGGAAACCTTACTACCAGCCGGCCTCAGAACCATTAAACTGAGGTTTAGAGCTGTACCCTCATATGGAGATAACAAGAATAGTTGCATAGCCATTATCAAGGAGGCATAAGCAAAATTCTATGAGTAGAGTCAAGGAAATCCAGCATTCATCATCCTAATCAGGAAACAATGTAACACAGGTTACATCTACGCCAGCCTAATAGATGAAGAAGGGGTTTGAGGCTGGTTAGCAGAATTTTTTTGCTTACCCCTAAAGTCTTTGCCTAGGAGGCCTTCTACAAGACAGTAGCTGGATGCAGTTAGCATCTGCCCAAGATGAGTATTTTTGTTGAGACACCATCTGTAGCCTTTACTCAACCAAGAGCCTTAAGGCAGGGGATGTTTAGCTGGATGCAGTTAACATCTGCCCAAGATGAGTGTTTTTATCGAGACACAATCTCTAGCCTTTACTCAACCAAGAGCCCCAAGGCAGGGGAATTTTTAGTCGGAGTTTTTTCTCCTAGCCTTTGCCTAAGAAGAGCACACTCTGCAAGGCAGCAGGGCTTGTGGCAGGTGGTACTGGGTTACGTGGTACCAGTAGCAAGATTGATCTCGATTATCCTGAACTGACCTGGAGTAGGTAAAAGTAGTTACTTTCCGCAACAGTACTTTGAGAAAACCAGGCATGACATTTTGGAAGTGCATCAGGAAAAACACTGCATCTAACAAAATACAGGAGTCTAAGGTGAGTGTAGGTTTTGTAGTTGGAGTAAGTAGTTAGTTACTGAGCTCACGCTGCATTTGAGTATAAACAGAACACAAACAAACATAAATCAACTTACGGGTGAGTCAACACCGCGCCAGAGGTTCAGACAGAACACAAACATACATAAAAAACATAAAGTAACTTACGGGTGAGCGAACACCGCGCCAGAGGTTCAGACAGAACACAAACATACATAAAAAAACATAAAAAACATAGACATAAACATAAAGTAACTTACGGGTGAGTGAACACCGCGCCAGAGGTTCAGACAGAACACAGACATACATAAAAAACATAAAGTAACTTACGGGTGTGCGAACACCGCGCCAGAGGTTCAGACAGAGCACAAACATACATATAAAGTAGATTACAGGTGAGCTAATACAGTAACTAAGGCACCTCCAACTATATGAAAAAAAAAAAAAAAAAAAAAAATTACTAGGATTCATGTATTAGTTATATTCTATAAAAATAAAAGACATAGCCATAGTAAAACTTAGACTAATTCTTCCTCCCGATTGTGCAGGCAAACAAACTTTTGACTTGCTATTGCTAAATTAAGTAAAGTATTTAATTTAATTTTTTTTTTTTATTTTCAAATCTTTTTTTTTTTTTTAATATTTTATAAATATACTTAAAGTATATTGTGTTATATTTAATATTGGTTAGCATGTAGCAGGTTGTTTTCTTTTTTCATAGGTACTACATATAACGGGTAATTTAGTAACTATACCCTAGAAAGAATAAAAATTAATTAGTTTTAATTTAAAGCATCAACGAATTCTTCCCGTTATTGCGTGGGCTATTTTACTAGTATATATACTCTTGCTTGGTCGTTTTTTAAGTTTTCCATAAATATCAAGTTTATGTTTTGTTTTAATTTAAATTTATTTTAAAGACCAGAAAAAGTTTAATATAATTTTTAATTATTAAATAGCCTGCCTGCCCCAACCAAACTCTCCATCAATGTAGCAGCACTTCTTATAGCAGCAGGTTATAAGGTAGTCGATGTAACAGCACTCCCTTGTAACAGCAGGTTATAAGGTAGTCAATGTAGCAGCACTCCCTTGTAACAGCAGGCTATAAGATAGTCGATGTAGCAGCACTCCCTTGTAACAGCAGGCTATAAGATAGTCGATGTAGCAGCACTCTCTTGTAACAGCAGGCTGTAAGGTAGTCAATGTAGCAGCACTCCCTTGTAACAGCAGGCTATAAGGTAGTCGATGTAGCAGCACTCCCTTGTAACAGCAGGCTATAAGGTAGTTGATAACTCATGTTTTACAGTAAAATAATTAAAATAAAAACATTCAGTATGTTTTTATTTAAAAAGATAAAAATAAAAACATTCAGTATGTTTTTAAAAATATTCTAGTTGTTTAATTTGCGTTTTTTTGGCCTTTTAAAAAACAATAAATTTAATTATTAAAACAATAAAGTTAAACTGTTAGGATAAAATTGCAGAAGTGGTAAAAATTAACTTAAATGAAAAAAGATAAAGTAAAAATGATTTAGAAATAGGTTATTAAAATAGCTTCCACATTTTTTATTTTTGGTTTTAAAAATTTTATGCTAAATATATTTACACTATTTCACTAATTAAAATTGAAAAGAAATTAAGAAAAATTAAAGCTAGGCCCTCAAAATAACAACAGGCTACATAAGGATTTCTTTAAAATTAGGTTTAGAGTTCTGTATAGAGTTAAAGGAATCTTGAACTAACATCAGTACCATTACATTTTATTGCACCAAATAAGACCAAATATATAACACTATTTCTGGATAAATTTTTAATTTTGGATAAATATTTTCCATTAATAAAATTACTTCTTCAGGACACACGCACACAAAAACACACACACATATATTTATATATGTTTATATATATTCTTATATATTTTACACACATATATATACTAGAAAATTCATGGGCGTCCTTGGTGCCCATTTTAAGCAACCTTTTACACTTGTAAATGATACTTATTTTGAGAAGTAAAGTGAAGCCAGTGAAGGCAAATAAATCTTTTATATATTACACATACCTAGTGAGTGTTATTAAGTGAAAAAGAATTAAAATTAAAAATTTAAATGATTTAAAACAAATGATAAAAACAAAAAGTTTCAAGTTAAAAAATTTTATTAAAGAATTTCTTTATAAACTATATTACTCTCGAGTCCCTTATAAAAGGAGGGGGAGGGGATGTTTATTAATATTTTGAAAATTTTCCCACGAAATTTTGGTTTTGGTACTTTTTATAAATTTGGTAAAGAGGAAAATTTCGGTTGAAAAGCATACTGGAAAATCAATAAATTTGTAAGATTTTAAATTTTTATCTAATTTAAAAAAATATTTTTGTCAAAAAAAAAAAAAAACAAAGTTGTTTTTGAAAATTTTGACAAAATATTTTACTATTTCTAAATTTTGAGCCGATTGTTCGCACATTACTTAAAAGCGCATTTCCATTTGTGCGCATAATATTTTGAATGAAAATGTTTATTTAAAGAAAGCAAGTTTTTTTCAAAATAGTCTTCTTTTGTTCATTTAAGAAATATTTATTTTAAATGGCTTTGGCTTTTAAATAAGTATTTATTTATAAGCCCAAGTTTAATTCATAAGAAAGTGTATTTATTTATAAGTCAATTTATGTAATATATCTCAATTTGTGAAACAATCAATTCTAACATAATAAACATATAAAAAAACATATGTAAAATTTTCTAATTTTTTTATGAAATTTATTTTGTTTAGCTAAAATATCTGTATCGGTTTCGGTAAAACATTTGCCAAAATGTCAGTTTCGGTTTCGACACTGAATTAGAGTTCCAAAAATTTCGGTTTACTTCGGTTTTGGCTTTTTTTCTGTTTCAGTTGATCACTAATATTGACCATTTATTTCAGCCAATCAACAAAATATTATTAATTTTTTAGGTACCAGATATTGTAAAAGCTCAGTACAAAAATCCACCTGCTCAGTTTATGCCAACCATTTGCCAATCTGATATTCTTTTGCCACACATGAAACCTTTGAGCACACCAACTCCTGGAGAAAAAGAACAAGTATTTAAACTTTAATTTGAAAAAATTATTAAATTAATTTTTTTTTAATTCTCTTTTTTTAATATTAATTTTCTTTTTTTTTATAAATTTGTTTTTAATATAAGAAAAAAAAAACACTAACATTGCAGTATACAGGTTCTATCTGCTAGACTAGGACTAGAACTCTTTGTTGAATTCACGATTGAACACATTCTTTTTACAAAATCTAAACATTGACTAAGCAAGCTCAATTAATTTCAGTTTTTTTTTTTTTGTATTTTACTAGCAAAACTATTTTTTATTACAGTTTATATATTAAATTGTTACCACAGTATTTTTTGTGAGAGTTGTCATGGAGACTAATGTTGTTCATTGAGTTGTGTGATAAACAGTTTTTCATGTAGTATATACAACTATGCCCCCTTCTAAGTATTTTGTTGCATGAATTATGAAAAAGATGACTGAAAGTCTTTTCTAATAAATTCTAATTTTTTAGTTTGTTTATATATCATTATTGAAGTTATTTATAATGACTTTTTTTTTTTTTATTAGTGGCTAAAAAGTATAATTGACTTGCAATGCTCTATTGCTGGTGCACTAGAAAAACAAAAATCATACACTGTACCTCTTAAATCAATAAGCTCTCAGTTGTCATCACCTGTGATTAGTTATATGTCTTCAGATACATCAACTGGAAGTTTTGCAATAAAATGTATGAATAATACCAATGAAGTAAATAATATTCACAAAGAACAAGAAGCAAAGTTAGAATCTCAATCTCTCTACAAAGAACATTTGTCATATGATAAAGAACATTTCTCTAGTATTAAAGAAAATATACTATGCGATAAAGAACATCAGTCTTTTGATGAGCGCCTCTCATATGATAAAGAATTTTCTTCTTGTGATACTGAACTTGTTTCGTTGTATGATAAAGAACTTGTTTCACCATTTGAAAAAGAGGTTAGAGGTTAGAGATTTGAAAAAGTGGTTGATTAGTTATATAAATTTTAATTGAAATAGTTTGTTTGAAATGTGATGAAACACAAATTAAAATTTATTTATTTTTATTTTTTTTAATTTTTTATTTTATTTTATTTTAATTCACCTCCTCAAGGCAGAGAAGGCCACTACAGACAAGGAGGTTACTTATTTGTGGTTATAACCCTCTCTCAACTCTATAACTCTGTAACACGAACCTTGACGAAAAGGCCGCTGCGTGGAGAAACGAGTTGAGCGCGGTACTACCAGGGACGTGGTGGGGATCGAATTCGGAACCACTCGTTTATGAAGCGAGCGCTCTACCACTACACCACTACCGCATAATTTTTATTTGGGATTTTAGGATATGATGATTGAAGGAAAAAAAGCAGAAAATTGCGTTGGTCAAAAAGAGGTATTTATTAGTGCATTGAATGTTTTAAAATTTTATAATTTCCTAATGACAACAAAGCATAATTTCCATAACTTAGTTATTATAATTATCAAGTCTTTCAAATAGTCTAATAGAAAACCTCTTGCTAAAATACAAACCAAAAATCTTATTGAAAAACATTTTTTTAAGTTACCTAAAGTGTTCTACAAATTGTTTTAATTATTTGTTTTAATATTATGGTAGAATGGCTTTGGTATCATATATGGTAAAATTTGTAAGTTTTACCATTTATAACTTTTTGTTTAGATAATTATCAAACAACAGTACAAGTTTACCTTACCTTAATATTTAAATATTTAGTAATAGAAATAATAAATTAGGATAGTCAAATATTTCAAAAATTAATAGATAAAATGTACTTGAATTCAAAATGATATTGTTCACAAGTGTGTAAATGATAAATATATAATTATGATGTTTTATGCTTTATTTTGACTTAATTACACTAGATTTATTATATTTGTTATATAGATAGATTAAATAGATTAAAATCATAATTTATATATATGTAGTATATATAAATTATGATTAACCTAAAATAATCTAAAGTAATTGTGAAACAATAATTAGATGGTTATTTTTGGTTACTTTAAGTTATTTCCAATTATTTTTGTTACTTCAAGTTATTTCCAGTTCTTTTGTTTATTTTGGGTTTCTATTGTTATTTCACTTTTCAGATCGATAATAAGATTTTTATTTTTAGCCACTATATTAAATCTATATTTGGCTAACCCTACTGTATCACAAATCTGGCTACTGGCTATTTCTGTGCACTCATTAGCTAATTTATAACATTTTAAAATGTTTAGCTTTTATTAAATTTAAAAAGCAATATTTTTAAATTTTGTGTTATTTATTTACTGTTAATTTAAATTTTGGTTCAAATATTTTTATCATTTTTCGAAATGATGGTTGGTTTAACATTTCCAGTGGGTTGGTACTATTAACAATCATTTCAATCACAATATTATGTTGAATTTGGTGTTTACTTGATTCTGTTGGCTACATGGTGATTCGGTGTTCAAAGCACTCTCCTATTGTCTGGGTTTCTATCTTTTTACTATTTTAAGAAGGTGTAGAATCAATATTTTAATAATTTGTTTGGTAGTAATTCATTGTTTTATTCCTATTTTTGTTTTTGATGATGATATTCAATTTTATTTTAGTTTTTGTTCTTTAGATAATTTCTAATTTCAGTTTTAATTCACATTAACATAATTAATTTTAACATTAATAAAAATATCACTGAATAGAACCATAATTTACATTTGATTTTTAGCTTATAGTAGCCTTTAGAATTAAGGTCAGTGCATTCCACAATGCCGACCTAACTGCCGACCTTTAAAGTGTTTAAGTTTGGCATAAAATTGCAGACCTTGATTCTATTTCTTTTGGTAAGACCTTTGTATCAAATTTTTTTTGTCGACCTCTAAAAGATTGAGGGCGGCAAATTATTGCCAACCTTATTTTTCCTAATTCCGAGGGTTGTTATAGTATGCCAAATTGTTTTTGTACAAAGATAAAAAGTATGAGAGGATTAAAAAATGTTAATAAATATATTATTATTATTTTGTGTATTTTATGTTAGAAAACTATTATACTTTATATAAAGGTTTATATTTATACAAAAAATAATGTGGAACTGTTTTGATTTTAAATTTATTTCTGTGTCATTAGAAATATCTGAAAGAAATAATCCATTCCAATTTTTATAATTTTTAAACTTTTTTAATTATAAATTATATATGCCAATATTTTTTTTAATTAATAGGATTTCGAGTTAGAGCAAAATAATCTTGATGCAACAACGTCAAATGATACATCATCTATTAATTTAGATGGATTGATAGTAAGCTCTTCACCCATAGTTCAACGATTTCAATCCAATATATCATCTGACTGTGTTGGCAAAGATGTTTTTCCAAAATTGTTAAATGTGACACCTAAGGTCTCCTCTGTTCTTACCTCTGGAAGCCATATGGTGAGCAGTATAAGTACAGAGCTTCTGAGAGGTTTTAAATTTTTTTTTTTTGTCAACTTTTTTTTAGTTTTTATAATAATGTAAAAAGTTGCCCATAGGAAAAGACATATTTAAGTTACAATCTGTCAATCTACACTCTGTTAAATTGTGTATACAAAATTTTACTATAATCAGCATACTTAAAATGTAATTTTTTTCTTGAAATTAGCATATTCAAAAGCTTCTATGAAGTGATGGGCTTTTTGAAAAGATTTCTAAGTCAAAAAAGGATTTCAGTAATTTAATTACTATAAATTAAATAAATTTAATTAATATAAATCATACTGCATAAAATTCTTAACATTTTATTAAAGACAATGATTTGTGCACTTAAAAAACTTAAACAATAGAAATTAAAGTTGTAGAAATTAATAGTAAAGTATTATTTTTTTTTTACTTCTGAAAAGACAACTGTTTAAGAATTTATTAGGAAAATTAGAAAATTAGTTAAAGAGCAGTTAAAATGGCTAACAGAGTAAAAGATTTGTTTTTTGCAGTACATATTTTTTGTGGTAAACACCTTTTTATGGAAGAGTATTTAAAATGTGAACAAAACCATTCTGAACAAAAATTAAGCATTTATCATCCAACTATATAATTAAATTTCAAGGATTGAATATTCTTCTGTAAAAAAAAAGTTTAAGGTGATTCAAGTCATTTATTCTACACTATCTTTATTTTTGATTTGTCAATGGGAATACGTTTATTAATACAATAAATGACTTTAAAATTATGTAAACAATGAATCTGTTTTTTTGGGGTAAAAAAAATTTTCAAAGCTATTTTTTGATTAATTAAAGTGATTTATGTGATTTATAATGTAAACAAGGAAAATCACAATACTTTTTATGAAGAAGACACAATAGCCGGTGTATCTCGATTTAAAAATGTTATGTTAATGGTCTTGCAAAAAGTAAGAAGAAACCTTAATAGTTTATGCTTCTTCCGAAAAACAGAGAAAGTCTGAAGAAAAGAATAATTGGTTTAATGGCTTGTTTTATCATCTAGTTAGGCAATCCTAAAACAAAGGCAATTAAATATATTTAATCTTAATGTTTTTTAAAGTTAAAATGCAATTAAATACATTTAATTTAATGATTTTTTATAAATATATTGAATTATTATTAAATAAGAATTTAAAACAGTCATTTTTTTATATAGGATAATAATGCTTATATTTTCTTTACCTTTTGCTGCATATTTCATTTTCAAAAATATAATACATGTATAAATAAAGTACATGTATATATAAATAAAAACATATTTATTAGTTTTGGTATGATTTTTATACTTTTTTTTATTAAGGAGACTATATGAGTAAAAAGTTATAAGTGAACAAAATTACAAAGAACTGAATACAGCAAAAAATGAAACTTTTACCCAACTTCAAAAGTTGGAAATGTTGTATATCAGGAAAACATGTTGTCTGTTTATTGCTTCATATTGGCATTACAAGAAAACAATTATTAGAAATAATGTACTATAAAGTTGCTTATTAGTGCAATGGTTCTTGTCTTCCATGTGAGATATTCTTGTTTTTGAATAAAACTATAATGAATTGTGACAGGTCCCTTTTTATTATCAAACTAGTGCTTAGCTAGTTTGCTAATAAAAAGAGATCTGTCACAATTCATTATAGTTTTTAAGTTATAAAAAAATATTAAAAAATAAAAAACAAATATCAAATTAGAATTCTATGACAGTCTTTAATAGTATGTTTACAGGTTGTTTCATGTGTAAGTTTAAATTAGCGCTTTCTCAGCAAAAAATCTTTAAACTGCATATTTTGTAGATAATAATTTTTTTACATATAGTCTAGTTTGTTTGTTGAATTGTATCAATTTTTGTTGCTAAAAATAGCAAAATGAAAACAATAATTACAAAATTAAAAAAAGTATTAAAAACCATTAAATCTAGAAAAAGTAAAAAAATAAAAAGTGTTTCCTCGCACCATAGTATACATTATTTTTAAAGCATATAGTTCATATACCTTATTTTATTGCTAAATGTCCACATTAGATCCTGGAAAATGTTATGTTGGAAACTTTTTTTAGTGTTGTTGTGCACTTAGAGATATTGAGGAACATTATTACTTACTACTTATCTATTACACTGCACTATTACTTACTACTTATCTATTTCACTGCACTACTACTTACTACTTATCTGTGTGCAAATATTTTTTATTAAAAATATAATACATGTATAAATAAAATACATGTATATATAAATAAAAACATATTTATTAGTTTTGGTATGATTTTTATACTTTTTTTTATGATCTCAAATAAGCACAAGTTTTTCTTTTATAGATCCAACATTGTCTCAACTTGATGATAGGCTTGTACGCATACTTGCATTTCAAAGACTTCAACAACTAGTTGAGAAAAAGGTCTTATTACACAAATATTTATATATTTTTAAAGTATTTATATTATATTTTAAATAATTTTTTTTTTTTACAGAGTCATCAAACACCAAAATTTACCAAGCCTGGTATAACTGAGAAAAAAATTCTTTTACAAACAACACTAACAAGTGATTTTTTACATTTATATTTAAATTAGAAATGAGTTTTAATTTTATAGTGTAACTGTATTTATTTGTGTTTCCATATATCTATATACCAAAAGATGTGTATACATTACTTTTTCTTTTTCAACTAAAAGTTTAAAATTAATTTTTTAATGTATAGACAAACATTTCTGGCATATTTTGCAAAAATATCATCTTAACTGCTTGGTTTATCTTGTAAATTTAATTTAATTTAAATTAAATTGTTCTTTATTTAATTTAAATAATTGTTCTTTTATAATCTTTAAAAAAAAAGGGACTGAATGAAGTTTTTTTGCTAAAAGCCTAATACCACAACATCCCAAACTTATATTGCTTGGATACAAGGCAAATACTTGAATAAATTAAAATCATCCATACTCTCAAATAAAATTTTTTTTTCTGGTTTTGCCGAAAATTTAACATACAAAAGATATTCCCAAGTTACCAGTAGAACCGACAATAATCCACACTTTCTCTTACAGTTATTTATAACAAACAAAATGGTACCCAAACAATGTTTTAAATTGACATGTTAGGAATTATTAAAAGAATTTTTATACTTATACAAGTAACATTCTGAACATAAAAAATTCCACTGTTATGATGGTTGTGCTAAAAATATTTCTTAATATTGAAGTAAAAACCAAACAAATATGAACTTACTTTTTCAGTAGACAATACAATAAAAAGCCTACAGCTTTTCTAAACTAGTTTCTTATAAAATTTCAAGTAATTTTACTGTTTTAAGTAAAAATCATCTGTTAAATATCGTGTGTTTTAGGTAATTAATGATAACAAATAAGAATATATAATTTTTTTTTTCTAACATTTAAATGAATTTTTAATTAAAATCTGTTTGATTATTTATATGCATTTTCTGATTCATCAACTGCAAAAGCATTTGCTAATTTTTAACATAATTACATGTGCAGTTGTATGACAACTCACAAAACAATAACAATGCAAAAAACAAGATCACCAAAAATCTTTAAAAATAGTTCATTTATTTGGGTTTGATTTAGTTTTAAAATAATTGTTTTATTTATTTGGGTTTAATGTTGTTTTAAGTGTTTTAAAGAATTTAAGTTTTTAAAATCTTAAAAGTTTAAAAATAGGTTTTTTGAAATATCTTAAAAGCTGATTTGATATTAGTGTTGTTTCATAACCTAATCTATGTGATGTAGATGACCATTTAGATAAAGTATGAAAAAGTTCTGAGGTGAATGGCTGCATTTGTCCCACATTTTTATGGTACAACCCACTGATGAAATCATTTTAAAGGGTTTATCAATCGATCGATTGCTAAATTAGCTTCTGCTAAGGTTGCTTCTCTTTATCGTGCTCGCCATTTCCTTACTTCTGATTCCATTCTCTACCTCTACAAATCTCTTATTCGTCCCTGTATGGAATACTGTTGTCATATTTGGGCTGGTTCTTCTAACGATTCACTCTCTCTTCTTGACAAGGTCCAAAAACGCATTGTAAATATTGTTGGACCTGGACTATCTGCTAAGCTTGAACCTCTTTCCCATCGTCATAAAGTTGCATCTCTTTCTCTTTTCTACAGATACTATCATGGTCACTGCTCAAAGGAGTTATCATCTCTAGTTCCATCAACTAAAATTCATTCTCGTTTTACTCGTCATTCAGCTAAGTCTCATTCGTTTTCTGTATCTGTCCCTGCATGCTCTAAAAACTTTCATTCATCTAGTTTTTTTCCCCGCACTTCAATTCTTTGGAACTCTCTCCCATCTTCATGTTTTCCTGACTCATACAACCTTCAACTTTTTAAGTCTTCTGTCAACCGTTTCCTTGCTCTATAACTCTGTTCTTTTTTTTTCCTAGTAACTCCCAACTTAATAGTGGTTGCTTGCAGCCTTGTTGGGAGTGAATGCAAATTAAAAAAAAAAAAAAAAAAAAAAAAAATTTAAATTGCTTTGAAATAGGTTTAAAAATATCTGTTTCCTACAAAAGTCAGCTGCAGCAATAAAAACTTGCAAATGCAAGAATAATATATTATCTAGTTAAGTTAAAGCTAATTTAACATGTTTTTACTAAGTGCTACAAAAATCATTACTCCACTAAATAAAACACTACAAAAATATACAGAAATCTCATGTTATATAAACTTAATAGATTAAAATAAATTGAACTAAATAGGTTTACAAGTAATTTGATATAAAAATAAATAAAAATTGCTATATATATCGTAGATGAGTTTTTTCCGTGAAATCTCGGATTTCACTCAAAACTACTTTAATTTTCATGAATTTTCTGGATGTTTTTTGTTATTAATTTGAAAAAAAGATTATATATTTTTATATAAAATTTTAAAAACAACAACTGTTTCATTTAAACAAATATGTTTTCTATAGTTAAAATTTTTACGAGATCAATTTTCGTATCAATTTTTTTTTTTTTTTAATTTCTTCAAATTAACTGTTTTGAATATTAGAAATTCGTTTTTGTAAAAAGTTAAAAAATCTAAATTCCGTTCCAAAAGTTTACGAAAGCTTTTGTTTTCACTTAATACGATCAATTTTTAATAAAATAATTTTCCATGATTTTCATTAAAAAAAAATTCCGGGATTTTCATAAAGTCAAATACTCATCTATGATATATATATATATATATATATATATATATATATATATATATATATATATATATATATATATATATATATATATATATATATATATATATATATATATATATATATATATATATATATATATATATATATATATATATATACACACATTCCACAATGTTATTATTTTAAAATAAAATAGAGATAAAAAATATAGAAACATTAAATCAGTAGTCAGAAAATAATGAGGAAATAAAGAGATGAGACAATAAATGTGATTTTTAACTAATAGCTTATAACCACTAAAAAATGTAACGTTAAAAATCGTTGACAAAACGACTAAAGAAACGTTAGTGAAGACTGTATAGTGCAAACCACAACAAACTAACTTAGCAACGTCAGATCGAGAAAATTAGATAGAAACAAAAAACCTAATGAAATTGTGATTAGTCTAAACTTATCTAGTGAAATAGTTCAGTATATTCCAACCAAGAATACATTTGTTATAAAAAATACGCTAATACGTACTTTGGTGTAAAATTTTCGCTCTGTTATGCTTCTCACAAGTATACGGCCTCATTCACATATTATAACACAAATCTGAATAAATATACAAGGATAAGGTAAAAAAAGATTATGAACAAAAGTATATAATAAAGAACAAATATTTGTTTATATTATGCTTATGGGCTAGCATATCAGAGCCAGATGTAAGACCTACAGAATGGATTTCAATTGACCCAATGCACACATTAGTCACTGTAGGCCACAAGCCGTCACTCTTAACCAAAAGAGCTACTGCCCCATGCTGGTTTGGAATGTATATATATACATATATATATATATATATATATATATATATATATATATATATATATATATATATATATATATATATATATATATATATATATACTTATATATTTGTATACTTGATATACATATAGACATATATATATATGTCTGAACCTCTGCCGCGGTGTTCGCTCACCCGTAAGTTACTTTATGTTTATGTCTATGTTTTTTATGTTTTTTTATGTATGTTTGTGTTCTGTCTGAACCTCTGGCGCATAGTTCGCTCACCCATAAGTTACTTTATGTTTTTTATGTATGTTTGTGTTCTGTCTGAACCTCTGGTGCGGTGTTGACTCACCTGTAAGTTGATTTATGTTTGTTTGTGTTCTGTTTGTTCTCTGATGCTGCGTGAGCTCAGTAACTAGCTAATTACTCCAACTACAAAACCTATACTCACCTTAGACTCCTGTATTTTGTTAGATGCAGTGTTTTTCCTAATTCACTTCCAAAATGTCATGCCTGGTTTTCTCAAAGTACTGTTGCGGGAAGTAACTCCTTTCAACTACTCCAGGTCAGGTCAGGATAATCAAGATCAATCTTGCTGCTGGTAACATGTAACCCAGTGCCACCTGCCACAAGCCCTGCTGCCTTGCAGAGTGTGCTCTTCTTAGGCAAAGGCTAGGAGAAAAAAACTCCGACTAAAAATTCCCCTGCCTTGGGGCTCTTGGTTGAGTAAAGGCTAGAGATGGTGTCTCAATAAAAACGCTCATCTTGGGCAGATGTTAACTGCGTCCAGCTAAACATCCCCTGCCTTAAGGCTCTTGGTTGAGTAAAGGCTACAGATGGTGTCTCAACAAAAATACTCATCTTGGGCAGATGTTAACTGCATCCAGCTACTGTCTTGTAGAAGGCCTCCTAGGCAAAGACTTTAGGGGTAAGCAGAAAAATTCTGCTAACCAGCCTCAAACCCCTTCTTCATCTATTAGGCTGGCGTAGATGTAACCTGTATTACATTGTTTCCTGATAAGGATGATGAATGCTGGATTTCCTTGACTCTACTCATAGAATTTTGCTTATGCCTCCTTGATAATGGCTATGCAGCTATTCTTGTTATCTCCATATGAGGGTACAGCTCTAAACCTCAGTTTAATGGTTCTGAGGCCGGCTGGTAGTAAGGTTTCCCGAACTCTGTGGTAGCTCTCAGAGAGGCTGATTCCATCAACAGCTGCAAAATATCAGAGTATTAACAGTGCCATGTTGCGCATGGATGGTGTCCCTGTTAATGCTTTTGGTGTGCATTGTCAAGGCCACATAAGGAGCCCTATGTCACGGCTTAGGGTTAATTAACAGGACTGAGACAACTGCATAGCTCATTGATTAGGAGGCTGTGCTCTATCTATAGATGAGTCAAGTTCTCATTAAACCCAAATCATGACCAAAGTAACCAAAAGTTTAAAACCTAAAAAACCATCCCCACTACCTAAATGTTTTAATATATCTTTTACAAATATTTGCGGTCTGCGAAGCAACTTTCCATCAGTTGAGTCTTACCTCCTGCAAAATTCACCAGACTTGCTTGCACTCAGTGAAACAAATTTAAATTCTGCAATTCCTTCTCCAGATGTCAGTGTTGATGGGTACTATCCTTTGATTCGTAAAGACTTCAATAGTCACATGCTAGGTTTAGGGGTATACATATGCATTAATTCCCCTATTTGTCGTGAAATCAGGTTCGAATCCTTTGACCATTCTTTTATGTGCTTTCACCTAGCACCTCTTCACTCTATCACCTTTCTCTTTGTTCTTTATCGTTCTCCTTCTTCCCATGATTGCACTCTTTTAGATGTTATCTCTGATCAAATTGAACATGCCCTCTCTCTTTACCCCTCTTCCAATATTGTTGTTGTTGGTGATTTTAATGCCCATCACACTGAATGGATTGGCTCTAACACCACTGATCCTGCTGGCACTAAAGCCTTTAACTTCTGCGTTTCTCAACCTCTTACTCAGATAGTTAACTTTGTGACTTGTTTTCCTGACAACCCTAATCATTTACCTTCACTCCTTGACTTGTTTCTTGTCTCTGACCCTAGCTTATGTTCAGTTTCTCCCTTTTCTCCCTTAGATGGTTCTGACCATGCAATGATCTCTATAAATCTTTCTTCTTATACTTCTTTTTTAGGGTCACCTTATCATCGCACCACCTACTACTACCCTAAAGCTGACTGGGATTCCTTTCATAATTTTCTTCGTGATGGTCCTTGGGCTGATGTTTTTTCTCTCTCAGCTGACAAATGCGCCTCCTACGTAACCTCCTGGATTCAGGCTGGAATGGAAGCTTTTATTCCTTCGCGTCGGTTTCAAGTCAAGCCTCATTCTACTCCATGGTTTTCTCCTTCTTGTGCGGCTGCTATATCCAATCGTAATCATTTTTTTCATCTTTTTCAAAAGAACAATTCTCTTGAGAACAAACGGCTATTTATTATTGCCAGAAATCGATGTAAAAAGGTGCTTTCTGATGCTAAACTCCATTATTCTCAGTAAGTATTACTGAAGTGAGATCAGATCTTGAATCCGATCTCACTTTAGTAATAGATTGAGGTTCACAGTGGCTTGTGAATTTCAACTCTAACAAAGCCCAGTTGTTTACTGCAAACAACTACCGTAATATGGTCATCATTCCTATATTAATGAATGGCAATCCTCTTACTGAGTCCTCCTCTTTACATCTTCTTGGATTATCGCCTACTACTGACCTTTCATGGAAACCATATATACAATCGATTGCTAAATTAGCTTCTGCTAAGGTTGCTTCTCTTTATCGTGCTCGCCATTTCCTTACTTCTGATTCCATTCTCTACCTCTACAAATCTCTTATTCGTCTCTGTATGGAATACTGTTGTCATATTTGGGCTGGTTCTTCTAACGATTCACTTTCTCTTCTTGACAAGGTCCAAAAACGCATTGTAAATGTTGTTGGACCTAGACTATCTGCTAAGCTTGAACCTCTTTCCCATCGTTGTAAAGTTGCATCTCTTTCTCTTTTCTACAAATACTATCATGGTCACTGCTCAAAGGAGTTATCATCTCTAGTTCCATCAACTAAAATTCATTCTCGTTTTACTCGTCATTCAGCTAAGTCTCATTCGTTTACTGTATCTGTCCCTGCATGCTCTAAAAACTTTTATTCATCTAGTTTTTTTCCCCGCACTTCAATCCTTAGGAACTCTCTCCCATCTTCATGTTTTCCTGACTCATACAGCCTTCAACTTTTCAAGTCTTCTGTCAATCGTTTCCTTGCTCTATAACTCTGTTCTTTTTTTTCTAGTAACTCCCAACTTAATCGTGGTTGCTTGCAGCCTTGTTGGGAGTGAATGCAAATAAAATATATATATATATATATATATATATATATATATATATATATATATATATATATATATATATATTTATATATATATGCTTGTATACTTGATCTTAGGCATTTTTGATTAGTTTTTTTTTTAAATTTCTTGAGTTTTTTTTTCTCTTGTTTGTATTCTTTATATTATTTTATAGAAAAAGCCATTGCAGTTTTGTCTTCTCTAAATGGGCTTGCTCCAGCATGTTACATGCGCTACATGACTATTAATCTAGGGCAAGGTATGATTATGTGTACAATAACTTTATTATAATTTTTATTTCTTACAGTAAGATAAAAATGTGCTTGTAGTACAAATAAATCTTTTTATTTATGTATTTTATCTATTTTCATAATTTTGTCAATAACATTTTTGAGTAGTTTGCAAATAGTTTAATTTTGTAAAAACTTAAGTTTTGTGAAGGAAGGGAGGAGGCAAGAGGGAGATTAGGTCATTTTACACATATACAATTGTTTAGAAGAAATCACTATTCACTGTTTGTCATTTATTTGTTTAGAAGAAATTACAAAAAAGCAAAAAGGAATTTTATAAAGTTTCTCTTTTGGTTTTTTTTTTAAAGTTCTGGTTAGATTTCAGATTTTGGTTTTTTCCAAATTTTGTTATAAAATACCATATATACCAAAAATAGGTATTGTAAAGATTAATTTATCAATAAAGCATAAATATCATTTGAATAAAAAGTTTGACAAAATATTTTTTTTATTAAATGTTAAGATGGCTCATAAAGAAAAAATACTCAATCTTTATTCAAATTTGATTTTTTTTTCAAAAAATATAATTATTTTGCATAAAATACCTACTAATATTATTTTAATTAAACATTATTTGTAAGTTTAATTTTTTTATTTATGATCTTTATTAAACAAAATTTTTTCAAATAATTTTAGCAAAACTTTTTGTTATAAAATTATGTTTTTTATTTTAAAACATAAAACCAATTTAAAAATCATGTTTACATTATATAATGTATACTGGCAAACAAACTGTAGAACACAGTCCACAAAGCAAAAGTTTTGCAGATTGTGTTTTTCAGTTTGTATTTAGTATGTGTAACTATTAAAATCTAAAAATATTTTCTTTATTTTTCGTTAGAATAATAGTAATTTCTTGTAAAAAAAATTTGGGAAGGTCCAAGTTTAAAGTAAATCAATTTACCAAGATAAACAAGATGACAGAAACTTATATAAATATTTTCATTATATCATCAATAATTTGTTAAAATTTTTAATTAGGCTTCTAAAAAGGTTTTCCAATATTTGCTAAATAATTTAACTTACTTTGAGATTAGCTAGATTTGTTTTGCAAATAAATTTGTAATAAAATGCTGTGATTAAAGTAATAAATTTTATATCTCCATTTTTATTATATTTGATGCAGGTAATCTGTGGTGCTTGAACTAGACTGAGCAATGAAAGCCCACAGAGAAATGTGAAACATTTCTATTGAAAAAATCTAAAAAAATTTCTATTGAAAAAATTCTAATAAAAAAAAAACAAAGAAAAATGAACAGATGTTCAGAATAAACACAGATTTATTTTCAGAAGAAAAAGTTTATACATAATCAAAGTCAACAGTAATTTTGTTGTTAAAGTGTACCTAAAACAAAACAGGACATATAAGTAAACAAAAATTTTCATTAAATATGTTAAAGTAAGTTAAAACAAATTTTTAACTTACTTTAACATAAAAATACATATGCATAGAGATATTATTATTTAAAAATAAATATAAAATATTAGATATAAGATGAAGAAAAAATATAATTGCTTTTGTGTAATCATAATTTATGTAGTGGTTGTAATAAACTTCTCCTCAGATCCGCGTTTATTATTACCAGCATTTCAAAGAGGCTCAGCGCCAATACCTAGTTTATCCCGTCAGATAAACATTATCGCCATTTATGCTTTACCTCGCAATTTATGCCTACTCCATACTGGAGTAAAAGGACTTCACTACAATCAGCCAAAACCCTAACATCACCAAAATGTAAAGCATTAAATTTTTGAAGAAATAATATGGATAGTGAAAAATGTGAATTCAATATTAAGTAATGTAACAAATTTAAAATAACATAAGTAATGATGGTTTATAATAATATAGCATAAATTGGCTTTCATCTGATCAAAATAATCTTGTTTTACAAGTTGGAATTTTCTTTAAACATTGACAACATGATATAGCAAAGCTCCATTTTTTGTATCAAAATTGTCACACTTAGCTCTTTTACTGTACTTGGACCATATGGTTGAAAGCCTACTTCTTATATGGCATGATAATAGCTGCTTGTGCTCATCACCCATTTTGATAGTACTTTTTCAAATTAATAAATCATCATTTTCTTTGACCATTTTACTAATCATTTTTAATAAAAACCTAAATAACTAAACTTTGTATATGTATAGATAATAATTAATAAATATATTATGGTAGTTAGGAGTACACAACTTATTATATTAACATAGTTATGTATATTATCATATACACCTTGCTTATATTTTTACCTGATATTTATAGGTGCTGATATGGATTTATGTTTGTCAAACTATGGTTTCTGCAACTACGTATCTGGAAAACATGCTACAATTTTTTTTGATAAGGTTGTATGTTTCATATTTTTAAATAAGCTTGAACTTTATAATAAAAAAAATATAAGTTTTTTTTTTACTTTTTAATACTTTAAAATATTAAAAAAAAAAAAAATTTAAGTCTAGTTTTTTGAAAAGTTAATTTTCTAAAATTTAAAATATAATAAATGAAATATTTTTTCTAAAATATTCAAACTAGGATATATATCAGATACCATGTAGGTGACACTTCTTGACAGAATTGGTGAATTATTGATTTTGGATTGACATGCATCTTATAAATATTGGTTATGGAATATGCTAGAAACCATCACATTCACATGCTTTATATCCTTTCACATATCATTTTTTTTAAATATATCAAGAACTTTAAAAAAAACTTTAAAAGTTATCAAGCTCCAATAATTTTCCCCAGGTTTGGATGACATAAACTCTGAATTTAAAAAAGTCCCATGAACCATTAGAAATAATCACACAAAAATTGTTTTGATATTATTCCTGCTTCTGATTATTATAACTAGAGCGTTATAATGCAAGTTAAATGTTTTAAATTTGTCTAATGATTTAAAAAGAAGTGAAATCCTGTTTAAATTATCTGTTTGAAGCTACCCTTTAATTTTTTTAACATAAAAAAAAAGCTAGAAAACATCTGTTTTCTAACATTTTTTCTTTTATGTTTTGCGTTTTAAAGTACACTATAACTTTTTTTTTTTGCTTTTAATTCAATAGGTGTTTTTATTTTCATAAAAGTCATTTCACACTTTTTTTTTCAATTTTAAAAAGGTGTGGCCTCTAGGCCACACCTTTTAAAAATTCTTAATATCTAGTTCTGCAACATCGTTGACACAAAAAAGATTGTGTACGAATTTTTTGCTAACTTGAAGTCTTTGATTTTTTTCCAATGCTCTTATGAAATGTTTAGTTTTAACAAGAAAAAACAACTTTTGCAAATTTTTTTTTGATTTTTTGCAAATGAAAGACGATAAGATTTTTTTTTGTTGTCTATAAATGTTAATCAAAATTTTAATCAGTTAAAATGTTATAAGTTAGTAATTAAGTAGTTAACTTAAGAATGCTTTAGATCTTTGGTATGTTTATAAGTTTCTGACCCATTATAGTCTTTTCTACATAACTCACAGTTATGTGAAAGGATACAAGTTGTCAAGCAAAAGAATGATTCCAGCCTCCTCAGATAAGTAACCCAAGTGTTTTTCAATAGATTTGAAGGTATCTTCATAGTTATGTTGTCTCATTACGTGTTCAATCTTGGTGGATATTCGCTGAACTTTTTCAGGTATTTTTGGTCCTTTTTTGTTGATGGTGACCAAGTGCATACTGAATATTCAAAATGGAATATGCAGTAAGGTCTAACATATGTTGTGTAGAGTTTCTTGCATAGTTTTGGTTCTTGCAACATAAAAGTATTTTTTAATAGACCGAGAATTTTATTTGCAATTTTATTTGTTATTCTAGTTAAGATTCTGACTTATAATGACTTCTCTGTTTCTACAATTGTTGTTGTTAGGTCTTATTTTATGCCCCATAGTGGATCCAGCATAGTGTATGTTGCTGATTTGTTTGCTTGTCTAATGCGCATCACTTCTGATTTGCTGGTGCTTACTTGCATTTGCCAAGTGTTGCACTTATCAGTTATCTTGTTGAGGTTGTTTTGGAGACTTTATGTGTCAAACACTTCGTTTCCTGGCTAATTGGTGCTATTAGTTTAGCGTCATCTACAAATATTTTTGTTGTCTGGGAGGTTGTTTATGAAGATAGCAAATAGAGTTGGTCCTAGCACAGATCCTCAGATAATACCACTAGACGCTGGCGCCCATCCAGATGATCTGTTGTCTAGTACAACTTGCTGTCATTGGTTTGTTAAAAATGAGCGAATTCATGCAAGTAGTTGATCTGTTATTTGCTCACTTTTTCAGCAATGCTTAAATGTTGTACTGAATCAAATACACATGAAAAGTCAAGAAATATGATATCTAGTGGTATTTTCTTTGTCATGGTTGTGGTGCTTCATAATTTCCAGAAAGCTTGTCGTACATGATTTATTTAGAACGAAACCATGTTGTTTGATACAAAAAAGGTTGTTTTTTGTGGAGTAGTTGACAAGTTCATTCCTATCTATTTTTTCCATTGTTTTGCATGGGACAGACATCAAGCTGATCATCAAACCGGAAACTTTCTGGAAACTACAGAGAGATGTCTGTATACAACAGACATTGGTGCTACTCCTGAATGCAGTAAGATGTTGAATATGATTGGTAGTGGCTTGCAAGTTTTTTGGCCAGTGCTTTTAGCATAAATGTGTGAACAACTGTCTGCACCTTGTGATTTGTTTCCATTAATTTGTTAGTAACCTTGCTACTTTGTTCGCCGTGATTTTTATGTTGTGAATTGTCATATTCGTTTTTTAGCTTAATGTGTGGCTTTGTGCGTTGTTTTTTTATATCAGCTATGTCCTTTTTTAATTTTTTTTAGTGCACTGCTGTCAGATTTGAGATCTTGTATTGAAGTGGATATTTTTGATTTACTATTTATATATGAAAAAATATTTTCTGCATTTCTCTTGTCAATTGCTAAATTGAATTCAAAGTTTCTGTTTTGCTTTTTTTGATGTTTTTTTATTATTTTTTTTTTTTTTGATGTTATTTTAATAACTTGCTTTGCTGTATTCTTTTACTATTTTTTTTATTTTATTAGTCACTCATATTGTTTTTTTAGTTTTTAAATCTTTTTTTCAGAATTTTTTACATAGATTATAGTATAAGTTCAGTAATTTAGCAAAGCATTTATTTGCGTTCAAGTTTAAGGATGTTTTTCCATTCAATGTTGTCAAGCTCTTTTTTTAGTGATTTGTAATCGCCTTTGTAGTGATTAATTTTTTTACTTGAAAAGATTAAACTTAGTTTTTCATTGTGACTAGAAAGTTTCATTTGATTACCAAATGAGCTTGTCTAGTCGTTCCAAGTGGCGAATCTAATGTAGGTTTTTATTCATCATTTTATCACATTGATTTATGTTGTCACATATTACTTTGTCGATAGTGGTTTTATGTTGTTTATCCGCTTGTATAAATGTGGTAAAGTTAACAAATTGAGTGAGAGAACTTTTGTCAAGCATAACAATGAATTTTATGGCTGGGTAATTTTCAGGGCCAGTTACACATATGGTACCATATAAATCAGCTAGTCACTTAGCATGGTTGGTGCTTTTTGTAATTGTAGTATCAACTGACAGATCATTTGTGTATCTTGAGGTAGATGGCAGTCAATATAAACCACCTATTAACGTTTTTTCATTGTTTATGTTTATCCAATGTCAAATTTGCTTGTAGTTTGTGTTTATTAGTTCTTCATAATCAATTTAGACAGATAGTAGGTCTTTGCTAACATAAATGGTAACTAACTTTACAGAACATGTCGTAATGGTCCAGATGCGGAACTGATTTGCTCATGCACCATGTTTCACTTACAAAATCTATGTGGGGGCAGCTGTGAATTCATTTAGTTTGTTTGCATTTAGCAATGTTGTATTTATTGTATATATATCATTGTAATTTATTTTTCAAGATCAATTTCTTTTTGTTTTGGAGCTGCAATCGTCTCTTTATTTCTTGTTGCCTGGACTTTCAGCAAGTTGATCTCTCCTCCAAATTGGTTGGCACGAGAGGTCAGTTGCTTTATCCAGTCTAGTGTATCAATTTAAAATTGAGTTTTTTGTCCTTGGTTTGATGAAGTTTTATTAAAATGTTGCAAAAAATCTGTGTTTCTTAACACCATAATGCTGGAGCATGGGGTTACTGTTTTGAAGTTGTCTCCAGGTAGAAATATATATATATATATATATATATATATATATATATATATATATATATATATATATATATATATATATATATATATATATATATATATATATAATAATAATAAAAGTTGCGTTGATAAATACCAATATAGAGTGCTTAATTCAAAGTAGAGCAAATTATATTAATTAAATCATGGCACATGGTAGTTAATATGACTCCAAGTTTTATGCCTATGGCAATTATCAGATGTATATATATATATATATATATATATATATATATATATATATATATATATATATATATATATATATAGATATATATATATATGTATGTATATATGTATATATATATATATATATATATATGTATATATATACATATATATGTATATATATATATATATATATATATATATATATATATATGTATATATATATATATATGTATATATATATATGTATATATATATATATATATATGTATATATATATATATATATATATATATATATATATATATATATATATATATGTATATGTATATATATATATACACACATATATATGTTTATAAATATAAATATATATATACACAAACACACGCACACATATATATATATATATATATATATATATATATATATACATACACAAATGTATGCACATATGTGTGTATACATATATGCATAAACATATGCATATATATATATATATATATATATATATATATATTATATATATATATATATATATATATATGCATATATGTATACAGAGCAAAAGTAAATTAAATTAGTAAATTAAAATTATATAAATAAGTTTTATAGATAACTTTTTTGCTATACTTTTTTTTCATCTCCCTTAATGTAACAACACTTTGACTAAATAGTATTTTGTAGTTAATGTTCCTTTTAAATAAAACAGTTTTTTTTTGTAGGAAACACAACAGTTTGAATTATTAAATTATTCTGAACATGGGACGATTGTGGATAATGTTCTTTATTCCTGTGATTTCTCAGAGAAACTTAAACCTCATATTACTTCAAGTAATGCTAAGATAGAATCAAAATACCAGGATTTTGAGCTAAAGAAGAAAAAGCCTCCTTTAGGAAGAACAACAAAAGGTTTAGGTACAGAATTTATTACTAAAAGCTGTAATTGTAGAGCCAGTGCATCAAGTTTGATTGGCGGTAGTGGTGCAGGTTGGGAAGGCACTGCAGTTTTGCATCATGGCAGTTATGTTAAATTGGGTTGCTTGCATTTTGTATTTAGTATTGTTGAATGCAATAACTTGGCAATGGATAATTATAATATACCAGTGAAGCAACCAAACGAGCATGTAAAAAGTGAAAATGAGGAAAACGCTTCATAATTATTGTGTAATATTCTGTATATATTTTAAAAAATTTAATAAAACTTATGTTAAAGTTGCGAAAAATGGAAAGTGGAAATTATCGTGAAGTATATTTAAATATATTTATAGAGATGTTAAAAAGTTTTTTTAAACATATAGTTTGTCTTTATATATATATATATATATATATATATATATATATATATATATATATATATATATATATATATATATATATATATATATATATATATATATATATATATATATATATATATATATATATATATATATATATATATATAGTTTTTTTGTTGTTTGTATATTTGACCTATTTGTGTATTTATATGTCGTTTTACACTGAAAAGCTTTTCAGTGTAAAACGTCATATGCAAGTTTGAATTTTAGATTAATGTATTTAAAAGTTTTGGTGCGTGTGTGTGTGTGTGTAAAAATTTTTTTATTTAAAAATAAGATTATTAGAATTATTATTATATGATTATTATTTTAAAAAGAGAAATAAAAAACAAGCAATTGTACAGTGAGATTTCAGTTAGCGAAACCCCAAGATTATTATAGACGTTTATATCTTTGAAAATAAATTAATGAATTTGCTTACATATGTGTGTATGTACATATGCATATATATTACATGTATTTATATATATATACATATATATATATATATATATATATATATATATATATATATATATATATATATATATATATATATATATATATATATATATATATATATATATATATATATATATATATACATACATATATATATACATATATATATATACATATATATATATATATATATATATATATATATATATATATATATATATATATATATATATATATACATATACATATACATATACATATACATACATACATACATATATATATATATATATATATATATATATATATATATATACATATACATACATACATATATATATATATATATATATATATATATATATATATATATATATATATATATATATATATATATATATATATATATATATATATATATAGTTATTTTTATTTAGCACAAAATTTAACACAAAAAAACTAACAGATGGTTGTTGATATGGATAGCTCTTTTCAATGTTTTCCGAAGGAATGTCATAGGAAAATAGTTCTTCAACAAAATTCATCAGATCTTGTAACATTAAAACAGAAGACCGGTGCTAACTCGTGCTTAAATCAATCAGAAAAAATCGTAATAAACTTTAATGATATTTATTCAAAAAATGACGATAGTCTCTCAGACAAGTCGAGTCCTAAACAAGTTCCTTTAGAATGCGGTGAAGAAGAAACTAAAGAACGCCCATTTGTGTGTCATGTTTGCGGAAGAAAGTTTCGTCAACGCTGTCATGTTGATCAACATTTACGAACACATACTAATGTGCGACCTTACCACTGCAGTTATTGTGCAAAATCTTTCAAACAAAAAAGTCAGGTACAATTTTTTTAAAGTTAATTTTTAATTATGCTATGATTCTTAAATATCAAAACTAGTTTCAATATATGACAAATTTCTTCCTTTTTTTAAGATAAATCAACACGAAAGAATTCACACTGGTGTGAAACCTTACAAGTGTGGAATGTGTGCTCAAGCCTACCCTCAAGCTACACAGCTTCGTTATCATATGAAAAGTCACGTAGATAATGTATGCGATAAGCCTTTGACAAACTTTGAGGAAACTATTAAATCAAAAAGAGGACGTCCACCAAAATCATTAGGAGATATACTTCTAATTTAAAAGAAAAAAATTGTAAATCTCATTATCATAGAATTGTTAAGCGATTCTAAATCGTAAATCCTTATAGGATTAGGTTTTTATAAGGTTAGATTCTTAGAGGATTTACTATAATAAAAAGTGTAAGTCGTGTTCTTATTTTTGAAATGAAATTTTATGTAAAATCAAGACACTTGTTAAACGCTTAACCTTCATTAGCTTTATGTTTACGAATTGTGAATATATGTTCGTACTGCAAACGAATAAAAAGAAATCGGTACTGAATGTTTTTATCGTGAGATATCGCGCGAAATCAGTACTGAATGTTTTTATCGTGCGATTTTTGTATAATATGTTGCATAATATTTGGTTTTATTTTTACTGAATCAATCAAATTTCAAATTTCCTTATTCAGTTTTTTTAATCTTTTTTTCTTTAATTTCTAAGTTTGAAGGAGGTGCATAAGTACAGATAGTATATGCACGAAAAATTAAGTTTGTTTTTTTTTTTTTTTTTTTTTTTTTTTAACTATTTATCTTCAAATATTTAAATTTTAAATATACTCTAACATGAAACTCTGAAATATTTACGTTTCAATATTTTTAAAGTTTAAATTACTTGTGTAAAAATTACTTTATGAGTAACTGCAAATCTTAAAAACATTTTACTTTTTTAATAAATAAATATATATTAAATTTTGTTTCCCATTTAATGCGCCATTTTACGGAAGAAAATTTTCCAAAGCGTCACGTTATACAATTATTGGCTTTTATGATGTAAAAAGATAAGATGTCTCACTCCACCTTAAAGTTGTAAAAATTATGTTATTATAAAACTAAATTTTTTTTTTTAATTATTTTACGTCTAATAAAAACTAATTAAAAATTCGTCTAAATAAAAACTATTTAAAAGTCGTTCATCAATCAGTCAAAATAAAAAAGTTTTACCAATTATCTTCGAATATCTTTTCGACGTTTATTCGGGATTTATGCAGTAAAATGACGTCATTTTTCTTGAAACTTATTTGTTACTCTACTTTTAACGGATTCTTCTATATATTTTTATCAGCTTCATGTTAATTATGTAAATAAATTTGTTTTAGTTCATAGAAGGGTTATTTTTTTTTAGCATTTTTTGAGATGTGAAGACTTTTTTTTGTTGCTGAAAATTTGGGAAAATCTGTGAAATCTTATAATTATTGGAAACAACTTAAATTGAAAACCTTGGAATGAAAATTTCAAATCTCACAAAGGATTTTTTTTTTTCAGGAAAGCATTTTAACTGAATATCATAGTACCACTAATATATATTAATATCTTTTAAATGTCAAATCACAGAACCAGATTTTGCGTACTAAATAAGTTTAATCAATATTATTAATTAACTATGTATAGTTAAATATTTATTAAAAAGTCAATGTGGCAATTTATGTTTTCAACAAGATTTGGACTTAATTCTTATTTTATTTTTTCCTCATGTCTTTAAAAGCTAGCGATCTTTGTCGCCAAATCGATGTCTTTATCGTTAAGATTATGGCTAGCCGATTTCCCAGCGGGCAGCTTATGGGTTTGGACAATATTGAAAGCGAAGAATTATTGCTAAGAGCGTTCATAACTAGAATACTAAGAAAATTTTCAAGGTAGCTACGAGCGCAAGTGAAAATACTTAGGTTCAATTAACAGTATGTATTAAATCATGCAAGAATACTCATGTGTGAAGCAACAAAAGAAGAATATATTTCAGCAACAATCTCTAGATTCTATAAAATGTTAAGAAAACATACACTACCAATTTTAACTGCTTTAATTGCGGCAAGTCTGGACATGTTGGTAGAATCTTTTTTTTGAAGAAACAAATTGTTAATGATTCCATCATTAACGATTTGTTTTTGAAGAAACAAATTGTTAATGATGGAATCATTAACAATTTGTTTCTTCAAACAAATTGTTAATGAGCAAACAATGGAGAATTTGTGAAAACAGAGGCAGAAGCTACAATAACATTGATCATCGAAGGAAAAAAACTAAAAAAGTAATGATTTTAAAAAGGTAACGGTATTGATGCTGTTATTGGTATGGATGTCATATTCGCTGTGCAGGAGTGCACTTGTACAATGTGGACTGCTAAATATGAATGGAAAAAGGTGAAACACAACTGAGGAATTCTGTCGCACAGGACAAAGTAAAACCCCAGTTAACACATCAATTTAATAAAGAGTCACACAGCCACACAAGTCTATTTTCACCTACGATCATGGGTGGAAAATGGCTGGTTGGAACAATGCAATAAAGATAAAAAAAAGTACAGAAGGTATAGTCTCGTTAATGGCAGTTGAACAGGAAAATAAAGGGAAAATACGACCTGTTTTGGACTTGCGCGAGTTAAATCAGTATGTTTCGCGAGTTAAATCGGTTATTCATATAATGTCCCAAGTGATGCATGTGATGAAAAAGAAAATGGAGAAAAGTTGGTAACAAATTTGCAACGCTTATCTCAGATGCGCCTATATGTAAATACGCATTTATCCAATTTCGTGGGAGGATCAGAGGGTGGCCTACAAAAAAAAAAAAAAATACTATCTTACACGTCTTGGTTTGGGTCAAATTCTGCCCCAAAAATTATGTCTCCAATTTTAGGCAATGTCTTGAATCTCGATCCAGGCATTAGTGAAGCAACTGACCACTACATTGACGATTAAACCGTTAATATGAAAAAAACATCAGTTGAAAATGTCGTAAATCATTTGATCATTGTCATAGTCAAGGAAATGGTTGGGATGATCTAATCGGAGATCAAGGTCAGTCATGGTTGATTGAAATATTACTCCAATTTGGAGGTTAGTGATTCTGTGAGAGGGAAATGGAATAATGATGGGATTCAAAATGGAGCTATATTATGGAATGATGCAAGCAGCATGGCAATGGGAGTTGCTATAGAAAACGATAGCGTAATTTTTGAGGATGCTGCCTGGCTTCAAAGTATTAATGATATCATGCATATTGATATTGCTGAATTAGGTGCTGTGGTGCATGGGATAAACCTAACCGCTAAGTGGGATATAAAGAACCTGTCAGTATTCACCAATTCAGTAACGGATGGTTAAAAATTATGCTGACTGAAATTCACAGAGTTCTATCAAATGGAAAATGGATTATCATAAATGCTTACGAAAAGAAAACTTTCTCTATGGCAATACTTATTAAAAGAATATAATATGAACATCACGTTGAAATAGGTTCCGTCCTTTAAAAACAAACCTCACGTGTTGACAAGAGTTTCAAAGACCTGGTTAATTAAGCACTCACTAATAAAAAAGCAATACTAAAGAACTATGTAGAGTAAATATTGCAAAAGAAATTCGTAGTTGTCACTCAAAGCATCATATTGGATAAAATTTACAGTTAATCGGACAATGTTTACAGTGCAATGAAGACTTCCACACGTGTTGAGAAAAGACGTTGAAGAATGTGTGCGCAAATGTTGTCAATTTAATTCAAATGATCCAGCACCAATATAATGGGAACATGGGGTGTTAGATGTACTAGATACTTGGTATCGCATTGCTTGTAATGTGGCTCACTATAAATGGGTCGCCATATTTAACAATGATTGACTGTAGACCAAGTCGGTTTGCGGTTCGGAGAAAGTTGTCTCGCGAAGATACCAAAAGTGTAGTAAGTTAATTGGAATCCATATTTAGGGAGCATGGCTCACCGCAAGAACTATTGATGGATAATGGAGCGCTGTTTAGATCCAGTGAATTTTCAAACATATGTGAGAAACGGTGTGTAAAAAAGATGTATAGATGTGTATTTAGATCATCAGGAAATGGATCGTGGAATGTAACCATCGCACAATAAAACAAACAGTTGCGAGGGCACAAATATGTTGGTTACTAGCGGTATTTTGGTACAATGCAACGCCAACGATGGGAACACACCAGGAATCTACACCTGCCTCTCAAAAAAATAAATACGTCTGGCTTCTACCAATTCAAGAGGAGAAAAATACTGAAACTCAGGAAAGATAACAACAAGTTATGGAAACTTATAGAATTTGAGAAAAAAATTATGTTTGCCCCGCTGATGCAAAGTGTACTTCACTTTGGAAAAATGGTACAACTTAAATTGACGTTGTACCGAGACATGTGCGGGATGTGAGAATAGCTCCTGCCTCAAATTGTACAAACGCTTCAATTAAAATTTTTATCAGTAAAAAGGTTGACAGTGATGAAAGTGATTTAAAACATTTAGATATTTTTGCTGCACGAGATGAAGGATTCAAAGAAATAGTGTTTGACGCTGAGGAAGAAACTGATGGCAGAGAATCGTCAATAATTTATTATCAGCAATCAACAATCAACCAGAGAAAGGAAATAGTTGACATATTTAAATGACAATGTTACTTAAGAACTTTAGTTTTTGAGGATATGTGATAATAGGTCATCGCTATAAAATTAAATTGTTAGGGTAACACGGGGCAAAATGAGACAGCGGGGCAATACGAGACAGTTCGCGTTTAACATAATGCTAGCCCTACAAGTTATTATTTGCAAGATTTTTAAAAGTGCAGTTGTGTTCAAAAACTATTTTGTGTCATGAAAAATATATTGAGTCACTTTGAAATAAAAAAGTTGAGTAAAAGAGAAATCATTTCATCCCTCGGCTTCGCAAAAATTACGAATTTCTAAGAGTTGTTATTATATTTTTTCCTAGCCTTTTTTGATCTCACTGAGTGGAAACGCTTTTTATATTTAAAGTTTTTTTTTAATTAGAATCTTTAGGCCTTTTTCTATCATTTCCATTCTTTGGTATTTTATTTCTTCAATAAAATAGTCTGGAAATTAGGCTATTCGATGCCAACATGATGCGGGGCAAAACGAGACATTCTGTTTGTATTTTTTTTTTTTTGCCGATATCTAATATTATGTTTATTTAATTTTTTACATTAAAAGAACAACCAAAGCAAATATTAATATTTATATGCTGTAGATTTAAATTTATTACACTGTATTTACTTACTTTTTATTTTGTTAATTGAAATGTTTAGTTGTTATCCAATATAGAATTACGTTTTATATTTTGTTAACTTATATTTAAATATAATAAATATTTAATCAAATTGAAGCAAATAATTGCCTGATGTTTATAATTACTATGTTTGTATTTTATAATCTTATTGTATTGTAATGTAATAAAGTAAGTAGTATATAAAATATATAGTGAGTAGATTATAACATATAGGTTATTGCAGTACCTATAAACAAAATACAATGAATGTTATGCCTGCTTTAAATACATAAGTTTAATATATGCATGTATGGTTTTATTAGTTTTTGTAGTGGATATATATATATATATATATATATATATATATATATATATATAAGTGGAGTCAATTTTCAAAATGTACAACCATTCGGACTGTTGTTCGTTTCAAAATACTGGTCAAGCAATATGTGATTTATGTGACTAGTGACAGTTTGATTATAGCTGTAATATATTATAAAATGTATTTCTTGCTAATCCTCTTAAAGATCTGTTTTTTTTTTACTTTATTTATTTAAATTACTAAAAAAAAAATCTGTCTCATTTTGCCCCGGTATGCGCGGCAAAATGAGACAGGATAGGTGCTGTCAATAAATGATCTCTGGTGACCAAACTACTGCAGTTTTGCAACTCATACTTTTTAGACTTCAAGTAGGATCGTAGAAGAATTGAAAAATATCAATTTATTTTTTCAAAAGTTGTTAGACGGGCCGTATTAGATTATATTGTTAGCCGTATTAGATATATTAGCGCTTAAGTGTCTCATTTTGCCCCTCGTTACACTACGTTTATAACTATTTTTGTCATAATATTCATCAAAGTATTTACATCAAAGTTAATTGATGTAAGTCATAAACTATTTTTGTATATAATTACGCCCTTGAGAATTTTTGTTTATAAAAGTTTTAATTATCATTTTAAAAAAAAATTAAAATAAAAGTAACAGTATTACTGTTACTTTTATTTTAACTTCTTGTAAAAAGTTGTCGTATTTTAGATTATATTTTTAAATTTAAGAGAAAAGTGGCACAATAGTCTAAAGTCCGGATCTGCCCCTATATCTACCTCTCCCCCAAACCACTCTCCGTTGTCACAATCCCTAATGTGAAATTTTTTTTCTAACTTTTAGATTAAAAGTATTTTTAAAAAGACTTTTAAGTCTTATTTTAAAAAATTAAAATTTAAATAAAACTTTGAAGTTTTTACTGGCTTTTTTGTCCAGGGTTGTCAGAACTTTGATTAACCAGGATATCATAGTCTAAAACGATTGTAAATTAATTCTAGATATATTTTCTGCTGGATTTTAGGATACGCTTTTTAGGCAAATGCTAGTAGAAGCCAAATAAGACTTAATAAACTTTCTACCTTGGGGCTCTTGGTTGAGTAAAAACTAGAGATAATATTTCAATAAAATTATCATCTTGAGCAGACGTTAAATGCATCCCTCTACTGCCTTGTAGAAAGTTTCCTAAGTAAACAGATTCTATCTGCAGACCTGCTTCACACCCCTTCTTTATCTATCAAGTGTATTTATAACACATTGTTTCCAATCTAGAATGTTGAATGCTGGATCTTCTTTACTCATTGCATGGGTTTTGCTTGTGTCTCTGTTTTTATGATTAGGCAACCCATTCTATTATCTCCTAATAGGTACAGGTCTAAAACTCAGTTTTATGATTCTGAGGCCGGCTGATAGTCAGATTTCACGAATTTTGTGGTAGCTCTAAGAGAGGCTGATTCCATCAACCGCTGAAAAATATGAGTACTAACAGTGCAAATTGCACATGGGTGGTGTCCCTGTTCGTACTTTTTGTGTGCATTGTCAAGGCTATATTTGGAGTCTTTTGTTACGGTTTAGGGTTAATTAATTGTAATGAAGTAATTGCTTGGATTATTAGATAGTGTACTGAGTACTATCTTTGCTTTGAGATAAATTTTTCAATCAATTTAAAAAATAAATTAAGTATCAAAAATTTTAAAATACAAAAAACCATTGTTATCAATTAAGTTCTCTAAATCTATCAGTCACCTGGTCTTCGAAGTAACTTTTGTTGAGTCTTTTGTCTTATCTTGTAATCTTAATTTCTTCTTTTAATTCGTAAAAACTCCAATAGTCACATGCTTGGCCTGGGCATTTATATTCGTAAGAATTCACTTATTTGTACAAAAACTAGATTTAAATCCACAGACTATTCTTTTATGAGCCTTTATTTAGCGCCACTTCACTTTTTGTTTTATATTGATCTCAAGATTATTGATCTCAAACTGCTTTTTGATGTTTATACTAGGTCTTGTTGTTTTCGTTCTTGGGAACAACAAACTTTCTTAACGGTTGAAATAACGGTTGTTATTTCTAATCAAATTGCCCTTTCTTCTTATCTATCAACCAATATCAATGTTGTTGGTGACTTTAATGCTCATCACACTAAAAGAATTGGTTGTAGTGTCAGTGACTCTGAAGGCGTTAAGGTCCACAACTTTTGTCTTTCTCAATCTTTAATACAAATAGCCAGCTTTTCAACTTGCTTTCTAGACAATTCGAACCATTTGTCATTTTAGATTGTTCGACTTATGTCTTGTTTCTGATCCTAGTCAGTGCTCAGATTTTCCACATTCACCCTTTCATTCATTCACCCAAGCACCCTTAGGTGCTTCTGATCACCGTTCGATCTTTCTAAAATTATTTTTTCATTTTTTTTCATCATCAGAATTCTTCTATCACTGTACCTACTACAGCTACCCTGAAGCTGACTGGGACACTTTTCGAGATTCTTTTTTTGTGATGACCCTTGGCTAGAAATCTTTTGCCTTCCTGCTGACAAATGTGCTTCAAATATAACTTCTTGGATTTAGGTTGGCATGGAACATTTTATTCCCTCTCATCGATTCCAAGTCAAGCCTCACTCTTCTCCATGGTTTTTCTCCCAATGTGCTGCTGCAATTTCCAATTGTAACTATTTCTTCCATATCTATCACCAAAACAATTTTCCAGAAAACGTGTTCGTCTGTTTACTATTTGTAATTATTTAACTATTTTATATGAAAATATTTTAAAAGGTTTTTTCTAACGCTAAAACCCGCTATTTTCAGGTCACAAAATTTTGTATTTCATTTCAAAAGTTATGTTCCCGATACTTATAGAGAATTTTTTTCTTTATTATAGACACTTATAGTGTCTATAATAAGGACAAATCTGTTATTCCTCCTCTTTTGTATGGTTCAGATTTTGTTACCTTACTTAAAGACAAAACTGAATTTTTTGCTAAGAACTTTTCATCAATCTCATCTCTTGATTCCACTACTTTATATAGCTGACAAACAGGTTTATCCATTGGTTGACATTCATATTACTCCATCTACTGCATCTAAAGTAATTTGCTGCTTAGACTTTTTTACAGCTTGTGGTCCGTACAACATAATGGTTATAGTCTTGTAAAGGTGTTATTTGGAGCTATACTTTTAAACTTATTTAACAACTGCTTATCAGTTTTGTTTTCCGGCCTGCCGGAAAACGGCATCTATTATCCTTATTTCCAAAAATTCTGAAGAGCAATCTGACTCGTCTAACTACCATTAGTCTTCTTACTATCATAAGCAAGCATTTTACTTAGATTAATTACAAAAATGAGTGCAGTTAATATGAATTCACTAGCTGAACTAGAAGTGGAAATGATGTCTGATATGTATAACAGGTTAAAATTTTTTTTTTTAAATAAAAACGTTTGTGATGAGTGATTTGATGGTTGTAGGATAATTGCATGTTAACAAAGGACAGTCATTTCTCTTACTCCATTCGATTTTATTTTTAATTTTAACTAGTAGTATCTATAATGAAAAAATGGAAAATGTAAGCTTCCGGCTGTTTCAAAAGTTATGGTGTTTTGAAATTCTGCAAAAATGCCCAATTTTCTGCTGAGATCTGGCACTATGGATTTTGTAGTGGTACCTTTAAATATGTAATATAAGTTTTGGTGGAAGAAATTTGCTAAAAATTGATATCTGGTCATTTATAGGTTCTAAATACAAAAATGCAAGGAAATTCATTATTATATTAAAGAATAGGATTTTTAATTTTAAAGTAGTCAAGAATTTTTTAACTAATAAAGATTTTTAAATTGTCAAGACTGTTCTGTTACCATTGGTTGCATTTATAAATACTTGTTGGCTAAATCATAAACTTAAATTAAAAAAAAAATTTAACTCTTTATTTCATCAAATCAGACAAAAAGTAAAATCACAAATTTTATGTTTTATTTTTTATCTCTATAATATTCTATTTCATGTCCAAAAAAAAAATTAGACTTTCATGATTTATTTAAAATATATCAACATGTTGCTCTATAACAACATTGCAAAAAATGAATATACAAACTATACAAATTTTTCAAAGTAATTTTTGGAATAAAATCATGTTAAATAGACATTAATATAAATATTTAAAAAGATATATGATTCCATTTAAATTTTTAAAACTCAAGTTGTGGAAGTTAGAAAAAAAATTGCGAGAGGTAACCAAGCACAAGTGGACTTTTTTTTTTTAAAAAAAGACTATATCCAGACTTGCAATGTTTGCACCTTTGCTGTTTTTTAGAAAAGTTCTTTTCACAGCAGGTGGATCACTTCTTGGTTTGCCTTGATGAACTTTTTTTCTTGTAATAAAGAGTCTGCAATGTGTTTCTGGGCAACCCACTCTCACAAAACTTCATCTTTGCTGGACCAGTGATTAATTGATTCTTCTATTGATAGACCAATAACTTTATATAACTTCAATCTTCATATAACTTTATCTTCACATAACTTCATCTTTGCTGGACCAGTGGTTAATTGATTCTTCTAATGATGGACCAATAAATGTAGATGCTAGCTGTACTACTCCATTATCCATCCAGCAAATAACTGTTATGTTGGAATTAAAATCAACCTGGTAATCTAATGAACCACAACCCATTTTTTTAGTTCTTTTTTTTTTAGACATTACTTTTTTAGCAGCATATGAGTGGATCTTACAGCCCATATTCCAAAATCCTTTAGAGTGTTGAACATTTTTATGCTGGTAAAAAGATTATCCATGAAGTTTTTATGCTTATGTTTTTTGGATAATCTGTAACAATCTTAAGCGCTGCTATTCCAACGTTACCATATTCTTTAGAAGTATCGGTATTCCTTGCCAAGATAGATAGTAAAATCATAAAGCATTCCACTAACTCCACATCATTCCCAGAGTTTTATACACCATTTGTGTGGTTTCTCTGGAAGATATTGTCTGATTGGACACCTTGATTTTAAGGGAATAGTTTGTTCGTCTATAGGCTGACGTTCTTCTTGTTCAACTAACCTGCACATATCAAGAGCAGATTGCACAATTGGTCTAACTTTATACAAATGATCATATTCTGTTGTCTGTTGTTGTTTTTGGCGTGTGTGTATTTATCATTTTCATGAAAATACATTTTTAATACTTCAAATCGTTTTAAACCCATATAATCTAGAATTGATGCACATCTAGTGTATTGAGACCAATAGGGGTAAGCAGGTAGGATTCATACACTTTTTACACTAAGTCTTATAAAACAAAAATAGTTGCTATTTTGAAATAATTTAAATGCTGCTGAGTAACCTAAATATCTGGCTTTAATAATATTGTAGTTTAGTTTTGAAAAAAGCTAACAAGACAGTACTATGATGTCTTTTACAAAAAAATGGAGATAGTACGAATGCACCCCAAACGCGGGGTAGCTTCGTTCAGTTTTTTGTTCGGTATTTTATTACAAAGTTAAAAATTTATTTTTTGAAAATAAACATTTATTAAGATTAAAATTTAAACAAAATAAATATTAAACATAATAAAAGTTATATATCCTATCTGCAGAGAATACATATTTTCTCAAAAGCTTTTCTAGGTTCTCCTAGAAATCAGTTCCGGCTGTCTGTTAAAATGCGAAAGAAGAGGCTGCGCGGTTTTTTCATACGTATTTACAATACGAATTTTCCCCACTTATTACTGTATGAATGTGCCCCAACCATAACAACTAACATATAAATTCAAAATTAAAATAACGGATAAGGTTATTAGAAAATTATTGTTTCAATATTATTATAAGACACTTATACAAAAATCATTAATTGGATCAAAAATTATTACAAATAAATCTTTTCAAAGATTATTTGTAAAATTACTTTAGCAGTTCAAAAACACGTATCGACTTGTTCCAATGACGATTACAATGGCACTGCCACGGCACTAAGCTGTTATCCTTTGTGTATGAGCGGTCTTAACACACTCATAAATATAAATGTGTCAAAATAAAGAATGGTCTAGATATGTCTATTGTACAAATGCTTCCGCTGTACAAATCCTACCTGTACTCCCCTACATCCTATATTGTGAATATTTTAGCACTCCCATAGTAATTAGTATACCTTTGAATTCTTTTTCTTTGAATTTTTTTTTATGATTTATCACTTGCGCCAACAATAAGAATTTTTATTGCCTTTTACTACTTTTTTTTTGGTTATTGCATTCTTTTGTATTATTTCTTGGTTTTCTTCAGAATTATTTATTATACAATAACTACTTTCATTATTGAAAGCTTTCATTTCACTGATTCATTTTTAGATTCACTTGTTGATTGATTTCTGATTTAGTTATTATTTCATTTTCTGATTCAATTAAAAAATTAACTTCATTGTTTGATTTACAATATATATACAGGCCTCGGCGGCAATAAATGAGTACGAGAGCAGAGAAAAGCTTTCTTAAAACAAACTTGAGGAACTGTGCGAGCTGCATAATATACTGAAATGCTTTTAAAAAGCATTTCAGTATAATATGCAATTAATTTTTTTTTAATGACATTGTGTTTTTTATTTTATCTAAAATGATAATTATATTTTTATGAGAAAAATTATACTTTGGTGAGAGCCATAAATAGCTCTTGTAAACTGTTTCAGAGCTAAAGCTCTCGCTTCTGGCCGAGGCCTGTATATATAACATTTTTATAAAATGATATAACATTTTTATAAAATGATATTATTTGAGATGTCCAAAAAAATCAATATATGTACTTCAAATAACAGAAAATAAAAGAAATATGATTTACTATGTACTAAGTTTGTTCCTATTCCAAAAACCATACCTTATTTAGATGCTGTTTTAAGATACCTAAGCTATTGTTTATATTAAGATCATCTAACAATTTCCTTTTATATAGGCCTATATATGTATATATATATATATATATATATATATATATATATATATATATATATATATATATATATATATATATATATATATATATATATATATATATATATATATATATATAAATGTTTATTGGTTTTTTGGTTTTGAACTGTTTTTTTACATTTTTTCAATTGTTCATTTCTTTGTAAGCGACATTTTCATATAAATTTTCAATATAATTTCTTCAATATTTAACAACAAATTTTGATATAAATTTTAGATGACATTTTAAAAGTTTTTGATCAATCAATCAAATTTGTTAACAGACTCAATGTAATGAAGAAATAAGGCCTAATATAAATAAAAAACTTTTTTTAATGGGTTTAACTATTTATTTGTAAATGATATAGTTTGTTTGCAATAGTTTGTTTTAATGTAAATGAAAAATTTTTTTGGAAAAATTGTATGCCCCATCAGTATTGGAGGTTATAAACTTGAGCATGAAATGCTTATTGCTAAAAACTTAACCCATCCAGTAATTTTAGACTACGACTTCATGAGCCAGTTTAACGTCAGATTAGATTGTGGGAATCATTGTGTTACATTCCAAGATATATTTGATATAGATATTATCAGTAAACCTATCAGCAATAAATTTACTATAGGAATAATTATGGATGATACGCCAATTCGCTGTAAAACGCAAACTAATGAACTTTCTGAAACTTTGTTAAGAGATTATTCGCTTATCGACCAACCCGTCAAGCCCAATAGTAAAACACAACGAGAGAATCGAACGCCGAAGTCCCATAAGCCGCTTACCTCAAATGAAGCTATAGTGTCCGCTGCCCAACAACTGCTGCAAATATTATACAGTCCCTGAGTGCCGTCTAGATAAAACAGATAAAATACAACAAAGTTTGCCGGAAAACAAACCATCAATGCAGATATATTTAAAATGTAAGAAATAGTAGCAAAAAGGCAAAGGAAAGGTAAAACTCAATACCTAGTTAAATGGAAGGACTTTCCTTCGACTCAAAATACGTGGGAACCAGAGGAAAACATCTTCGATAAGCAAGTTGTACAAAAATATTTAGAGAAGACAAAAAGAACCTTGCATGTTTTCCTCAATATCAATGGTAGTTCCGAGTAGACAACATGATAAAAAGCTGACCAGAAATAGACTTTTACTGATTGCCTGTATAAACAAATTATGGAATATAATGATTTCTGTTATTCTCTCGTGCTTACTCGTTTTACCTCCATTTACCACCCGAATATTTATAGGTGAAGTATATGATTGTTCAAAGGTGAAACCTATTGGAATTTTTCAATTACCTGGAATTACATCATGTAATCACAATATGCATACGTTAAATGACTCGGTGAAAATGTTTATGGCAGATGTCTTAACCGGTATTGGTATGACTTTAGGTAGTGCCTTACAATCCACCGCTAGTAGCGGAAGTCAGATTATAAAAGCAATTGGAGGAGCAATTAAAGACT